TAAGTGAAATAAACCAGTCACGAAGAGACAAATACTCTACAAATTTCCTTATGTGAGGTACCTAGAATAGTCAAAGTAATAGACACAGAAATTAGAATGGTGTTGTTAGGAACCGAAGGGAAGAGGGAATGGGGAGTTATTGTTTAATGGGTACAGAGTTCCGTTTTGTAAAATGAAGAGTTCTGGAAATGAATGGTGGTGATGGTTGCATGGCACCATGCATGTACTTAATGACACTGAACTGTATACTTAAAAATGGATGATAGTAAATTTTATGTTATGTGTATTTTGCCACATTGAAAAAGAAAGGAAACAATTAAAGTGGACTTGGAAGTGCAGAGAGGTAGTTGCTATAAATATTTGTGTGCAAGTTTTATATGAATATAGTTTTTATTCCTCTGGGATAAATGTCCAGGATTACATGTGGTAATTGCACATTTAGTTTTTAAGAAGCTGCCAAACTGTTTTCTAGAGTAAGTACACCATTTTATATTCCCATCAGCATTGTATGAGTGATCCAGTTTTCCTACATCTTTGCCAGCAATTGGTGTTGTCATTATTTTTTATTTTAGCCAACCTGATAGGTGTATTGTGATATTTCATTGTGGTTTTAATTTGCATCATCCTAGTCACTAATGATGTTGAACATCTTTTCATATGATTATTTGCCATCTGTATATCCTACCCAGTGAAGTGCCACTTCATATCTTTCACCGTTTTTTGTTGTTCTTGTTGAGTCTTGGGAGTTCGGTATATACTCTAGAGGCTAGTCCTTTGTTAGATATGTAGTCGGTAAATGCTTTATCCCTTCCTATAGCTTGTCTTTTCATCCTCTTAATGGGGTCTTTTTTTTTTTTTTTTTTTGAGATGGAGTCTCGCTCTGTCACCCAGACTGGAGTACAGTGGCCGGATCTCAGCTCACTGCAAGCTCTGCCTCCCGGGTTTACGCCATTCTCCTGCCTCAGCCTCCCAAGTAGCTGGGACTACAGGCACCCGCCACCTCGCCCGGCTAGTTTTTTGTATTTTTAGTAGAGACGGGGTTTCACCATGTTAGCCAGGATGGTCTCGATCTCCTGACCTCGTGATCCACCCGTCTCGGCCTCCCAAAATGCTGGGATTACAGGCTTGAGCCACCGCGCCCGGCTGATGGGGTCTTTTTTGGAGCAAAAATTTTTAATTTTGATCTAGTTTAATTTATCTTTTTTTTTCTTTTATGGATTCTGTTTTTGTTTTCAAGTCTAAAAACTCCTTACCTAGTCCTAGACCTTGAAGATTTTCTTTTATGTTATTCTCTAAAAGTTTTATAATTTTATGTTTTACATTTAAGTCTGTGAACCTTTTAAGTTATTTTTTTATATAAGCTGTGACACTTAGGTTGAGATTTATTTGATTTTTGCCTATGAATATCCAATTACTCTAGCACCATTTGCTGAGAAGTTTATGTTTCCTTCACTGAATTGTCAAAAATCAGTTAAGCATATTTGAAGTTTGTCACATTTTCTGCCTCCAAGTAATGCTGATAGTATGGGTAATGCGTGACTTAATTTGTGCTTCTTAATGACTTTATAGGTTTTGAGGGCAGAATGTGTGGACAGATCCAGATTACAGTGGTTGCCATTATCCTTCAAACTCAGAAGCCTCTAGAATGCAATAATTTATTGACCAAAAGGCAGCATGTAATTCCTAATGAAATTGTGTCATAACGGGATACTTGGAGGAAAAATAGGCATTATAGTAAAATTATAATTTTTACACAATAACTTTCTTTTTATAATTATGACAATAAAAATTTATAGACTTGGATTATTGTTCTCAATAATTATTTTCTTCCAATAACTGAGATGTAGGGACAAGCACAGGACTCAAACATTTCAACACTAAAAAGGATACCAAATAGTTATTATATTGTAAAGAGTAGTAGAGCTGAAAGGCAAGTTAGATAAAGTCTAATCTAACCCACTACTGCATTTTTATGCAGTATTCATTCATTGTACCTTCCTCTCTTTCTGCGTTCTCTCTTTTCTCAAATATATAATGAATACCTGAAACATTTTGGATCAAGTAATGCGGCTGTAGTGTCCTCAACAGAGTTTACACCAAGTGCAGTTCATTTTAAAGGGATGAATGTGGCTCAGAGTTTTGATGGTGCCCACTGGTGTAAATTTATAGGTCTTGAAAAAAAAGGTTTACTGTGAGGTTTTTCCTCTGTATCTCCTAAGCAGTGTGAGGTCTTGGACTAACTGAACCACCCAACTTCTGCCTGCTTGAATATCTCAGGGCAATGCATTTGGTGGTGTTGTGGTTTCCTGCCTATTGACAAGAGGCTTATCCTTCAATTCTTCTTTGGGTACTCTTGAAATGTATACCTCCTGTATGCCCAGGTTGTCTTTTGTTGAATTTTCATTTGATTGAAGGACAGAATGTTCTTCTCTGTTGCGCCAATAGCACTTTCCCATACGCACTCAGGGAAAGCTTTTCCCCCTCTTAACAGGGCTCAAAAGTCTTGACTGGAGTACCTCAGAAATAGACCTAGTTTATACTTTTATAAAAACAAGCAGAATCTGGGCAACTCCTAGCTTGGAATAACACTGATGGTCTGAGTTTCTCTGAGGCAAGCACATGGATGGTACTCTCAAGGAACACATGTACATGTATAGCACTTGGATCCCCACTCAGTAAGGTGAGGAAGCGCCAGCCCTGCTTTGGTGAAAGTGAAGGTGGTATCTTGTGAAAGGAGAGTCTGGGTTCACTGGGAGAAGAGGATGATGGCATGTGGAAGGCATGATATAGGATCCGAGTCCCAGGATGCCTTGATGTCTCCTATCCTACAACCCTGCAGGGAGAGAAGGTGGATTTTCTAATTTTTTTTCTTGATAGAATATAGTGATAGACCATATGTGCATGTGGAAAATAATTAAAGTAATAATTAGAAATAGCAAAGGAAAAATTTCGACCTGGAATTTGCACAGGACTCTGTTCTGAGCATGCCATATTGGCATACTTTGGAGGTTCCCCAGAGGAACCTGTGTAGTTCATCTCTCTGTCCCCAAGAGCCCTCGGCTGAGATGCCTCTTTGTACTGAAATGGGAAGAGCCAGGATTCTTATTCCCACAGGGTGGGCCTACGGGTAAGGGGAAGGTTTGTTTTGTCCTGTGAAGTTCTCATCGTGGGTGACAAGGGAACAGCAGTGGAGACTAGGAATTCTTCTTCTTCCCTCCACAACACCAACATGCCCACTCCTGTTTATTCTGGGGTAAGAAATAGAAGTCTAAAATGGACTTGTATTTTGGTTCCTGGGACTGTGAAACAGTTCCTGCTCCTTCTTTGCAAATCTCCCTAACATTGGATCATTTTTTCTCTCCTTTCTTCCTTAACAGTGTTTTATCTGAAATGTAAAATCATGGTTTTAAGTGCAGGCTTTGAGACTAGATAGACTGTGAGGTGGCTGTGGCATCTTATTAAAACTTGTAGTAATGTCCTTTTTTCCTCTATTAAATGGAGCTGTATTATGTTCAGGTGGTTGTGAGGATTAAATGATGAAATGTATATGGAATGATTAGCATATTGCCAGACACATAGTAAGCTCTCAATAAATGGCATCCATCATTATCATAGTAGGTAATCTCTTTACAGTACCTAGAATTGTTTGGCACTAGGCAACCCAAAACTGGTAAAAATTATTATTATATTACTGATTTTAGTGGCTCATGAGGGCCTTCAAACTGAGCACACTTTTGAGGGAGATCTACCAAGCATTTTATATTTTCTTTCAAAACCTGACCAAATAGTCTGGGAGTAGATAAGCCATTTAATTCCAACAAGGCACAGCAATGCCTGTAGTTTGTTATTTTCTGGTGACCCTATGCATATTTCAAGTTTTATCTTCTAAACAAGAGGCAAATGCTAGTGAATAGGCCCAGCTCTTATATGGGACAAGACTTCTTAAGAGTTACATTGCAATTGAATTATGTAAGCACTTATTAACTATTCTGCCATCTATCCAGCAGGGCCTTCAGAGAATTAACAGTCAAGTTTGAAGATTAAGTTTCAGGACATTGGTGCCTTAAACCTTAGGTTTTTGTTTGTTTGTTTTAATTAAGAAAAAATGTAGGCTGGGTGTTGTGGCTCATATCTGTAATCTCAGCCCTTTGGGAGGCTGAGGTGGGAGAATTGCTTGAGCTCCAGAGTTCAAGACCACTTTGGACAACAAAGTGAGACCCTGTCTCTACCAAAAATTTAAAAATTAGCTGTGCATGTTTGCACACCTGTGATCCCACCTACTCAGGAGACTGAGTTGGGAGAGTTGCTTGAGCCCAGAAGATGGAGGCTGCAGTGAGCCATGATCACGCCACTGCGCTCCAGTCGGGGACAGAGCCAGACCCTGTCAAAAACAAAAAAAAAACAAAAAACAAACAAACAACAACAACAACAACAACAACAACAACAAAAAACGTAGAAGGCAAATAGAAATAAAATATGGAACTTACTTGGAATCTCTCTTTGGCAATACTGTCAGGGTAGATGAAGAACCTGGGTTTGAATAATCTTCATTCTGTCACCTGCTAACACTGTGACTTTGGGCAAATCACTTTCTCTCTCTGAGCCTTAGCTTCTCTATCCATAAACTGGGGATACTAATAGCGCCATTAAGGGTTTCCTATAGGAGCTACGTGGATAGTTCATATAAGGCACTTCATTCAGGGCCTAGTACTTCAGTCGATGGTTGTCATTATTATTTTTATCTCCTGCTTTCAGCAGCCAAAAGGATTTTCTTTGGAAGCATCATAATGAATTAAGTAATTCCAAGTTAGGTGTGCACACCTAACTAGGTGTGCACCAAGCCATGATGCCAAAGCAACGCTTATTTTGACGACCTCAGGACAATTAGAACTTAAGGGTCCTTGTAGAGTAAATAAAAGCTGTTTTTTGTTTGTTTGTTTGTTTTCGCTTACTGATTGATCGATTTTTGAAATGAACTTTTCTCCCCTACTCGGTTTCAGTATTCGGGATTTCACACGGAAAGATCGGAATCTGATCATGACAGCCAGTGGGGCGGAAGTCCCTTGACCGACACGGCCTCTCCGCAGCTTCTGGACCCCGCCGACAGGCCTGGCTCCCAGCACGATGCATCGTGCGCCTACAGACAGTTCTCGGACCGCAGCTCTCTCTGCTATGGCTTTGCGCTTGACCATTCCAGGCTGGTGGAAGAGAGGCATTTCCATACCCAGGCCTGTGAAGGAGGCCTGTGTGAGGCAGGCAGGTACTTCCTGGGAACGCCGCAGGCCGGGAGGGAGCCCTGGTGGGGCTCTCGCGCAGCCTTGCCCCTGACCAAGGCCTCCCCGGAAAGCAGAGAAGCCTATGAAAACAGCATGCCTCACATCGCTTCAGTCCACAGGATCCATGGTAAGAGCAGGCGAAAGGGTTCCCGAACTCCAAGCTTTAGGCCCTGGGCAGGTTCATCATATTGTGACACTAGAGTGAATGACCAAATAGTTCTCTTCTTTGATTTACAAATCAGAACCCATGGGATTTTTTTAAAAAGTTCACTCTGTTATGAATTTTGCTAGTATTTGCCAAATACATTTAGTTTTGACAAGTGAATAAAAAGATTCCTATTTTAAACATCAGAAAGTATTGAAATTATGTAGTTTATTATTGAATATGTCTATTGAATTCGTAGTGTGTATGCATTTACATTCCTCTTGCATTATTTTCTTTTGTATTTGCATGCTTCAAATGTGAACTTGAACAGTCTGTAGGCTCATTTGGTCATAGCAGTGTTTCTGAATGAGGGCACTATTGATATGTTGGAGATGGCCAGTCTTTGTTTTATGGACAGTCACACATATCACAGATGTTTAACCTTTCTGGGCATTAAATGCCAGTAACTTCCCGTTCTTTCCCCATCATTATGACAACCCACAATGATGATCCCGTGAGCAAAGGATGAAGCAATATGTAGAATGCACTGGAATTTTCACCTTGGGATAATTATACAGCTTTATAAACACATTGAAATGGGCACCATAGCTAAAGCCTTGATTGTTGCTAATGCTTCCCTTTGTTCATTTCAAAGTAAACTGGTTAAGGAGAGTTCATTCCGTCCATTCCACGGTTGGGTCCAGACCGGTCTTTGGAATCCTTCCTATTTCATTAAAAGCCAGTGACATTAGGATTGATCTGAAGGCCCCAATACTACTACTTTTGTCTTTAGAATGAGAAATGTGCTAGGCAATATTCTTTCCATTAATAAACCTTCCTGTCAAATACCACTCAGAAGCTGAGTAATTTTAATCTGTTTCTATTCTTGCTTTCTATTTTTCTGATTTTTACTTTGAGTATCCCTAGTTTGGTCGAATGGTAATGGAAACCCAGAGCAAAGGGCAATTACTTGCCAAAGAATAGAGTTAAGTGAAAATCCTGGCTTAACCTACAGGGTCTGGAGGAAAATATTAGAAATAAAACAAGAAGAAAAGAGAAAAGGAAAGCAATGAATAGTGTGATCCAGGCTTTCTCTGCTGATTAGGCAATTTACAGCTTTCATATATTCCTACTTGTTTCTCTTCTCTCTTTTTATATTGACTTCAGACTGTTTTGAGAATAATTTGGTTTATGGAATATACTTTGGATGCACTACTCCTCCATATTTTATTTCTTTCCTTATTGTTTAAAAAAAATTTTTTTTTGAGACAGAGTTTCGCTCTTGTCGCCCAGGCTGGAGTGCAGTGGCGCGATCTCGGCTCACTGCAACCTCTGCCTCCCGGGTTCAAGCAATTCTCCTGTCTCAACCTTTCTAGTAGCTGGGATTACAGGTGCCTGCCACTATGGCTGGCTAATTTTTGTATTTTTTAGTAGAGATGGGGTTTCACCATGTTGGCCAGGCTGGTACTGAATTCCTGACCTCAGGTAATCCACCCACCTGGGCCTCCCAAAGTGTTGGGATTACTGATGTGAGCCACCTTGCCCGGCCTTATTCTTTACCTTACTTCAAAAACAATCTAAGGTACCTGAGTTACTATATGATTACCTGTGAAGCTGAGATGTTTACCACCAAATTTGATAAGATGGTATTTATGTTTTATTTGGGCAAGATTGTATCTATACCTATAGTCTTCATTTATATCCATCCATGCTTACATATATATCTATGTGAATAGATGTATATTTTTAACCTTCAAATACTCTAAAAATGAATATTAGAGCTTTATTGTAACTGTACTTAAGATATATTAGGGCTTTATTTTAACTCTACTTAAGATATATTTAGCAATATTAACATTTTAGGTTATTTATTTGGAAGTGAGAGAATAGTTCAGCCTATATAATTATTTCCCTCAAATCCAATTGAAAACATTTTCCAAGCATCAATTTAACGTGACAGTGCTCTAGTGAATAACGTAAACCAAATTCTATGCATCCTCCTCTTATTTCCTGTCAGAAAAGTCTAATAACATACATCCATAGAGAAGTATAAACACACTTTACCATTTTGCTAATTGTAATTCACAACAAACAAGGTTTATCTTCTAAGAAACTTGTTATAAACTTGGTCTGCATTTAAAATTCACTGATTTTATATGAATCCAGTACAGAGAGTTGACACTCTATCATGTGAGCCTGTGCCTATTTCAAATATTGGTGCACATATTAAAAATGAAAGATATAAAGTTTATTTCAATAGGAAAATGAAATATATTTACTTTTGAGGGTGAATTCTGAGATCACTTACTTTGGACTTTTTCTAATTTCTAGGGCGAGGTCATTGGGATGAAGATAGTGTGGTCAGTTCTCCAGACCCTGGGTCGGCCAGTGAATCAGGTGACCGATATCGTACTGAGCAGTATCAAAGTAGCCCACATGAACCCAGCAAAATTGAAACTCTTATAAGAGCCACCCAGCAAATGATTAAAGAAGAAGAGAACAGATTACAGCTAAGGAAAGCCCCCTCAGACCAACTGGCTTCCATTAATGGGGCAGGGAAAAAACACTCCCTCTGTTTTGCAAACTACCAACAGCCCCCACCAACAGGTGAAGTCTGCCACAGCTCTGCTCTTGCCAACACTTCACCCTGTGACCACATCCAGCAGAGAGAGGGAAAAATGTTGAGCCCCCATGAAAATGACTATGACAACAGTCCCACCACACTATCACGGATAAGTAGTCCCAATTCGGATCGCATTTCAAAATCCAGTTTGATCCTAGCTAAAGACTATCTGCATTCGGATATATCTCCTCATCAGACAGCAGGAGACCACCCTACTGTCTCTCCAAACTGCTTTGGCTCTCACCGGCAGTATTTTGATAAGCATGCTTACACATTAACTGGATACGCCCTGGAGCACTTATATGACAGCGAAACCATTAGAAACTATTCCTTGGGCTGTAATGGCTCACACTTTGATGTAACTTCCCATCTAAGGATGCAACCAGACCCAGCACAAGGACACAAGGGAACATCTGTTATAATAACCAATGGAAGCTGATGTTTTGCTGAAATATTTTGTTCTTTAAGGATCTTTGAAACGTATTTATAGTTTAATACCCCATTACCAGCATTTACTATGCCACAGAGTGTTAGAGAGGGTAACTTAAGTTACTGGGTATTTGATACGTGTTCCTATAAAATCAAAGAAAACATAGCACTAGCATTCAGGGTTATACACAGAAAATGAAGCTAAATTGAATACACAAATTTCCCCTCTAATTATATGGGAACCAGAAGAGATAAATTTTGAACAGAAAAATATTCATGTAGATCAAGTGTGCATATATACCACGTGAGAGGACTGATGAATGACAACATTGCATTGTGACTATCCAGTGATCCTCATACACACAAACTATTACTTACAAACTGCGGTATACATTTTACATATGGAAATACAGGCTATGTAATGTAAATACATAAAAAATGGGTAATTTTCTTGGACTCTATCACACTAAACTTCTTTTTTTTTTTTTTTCTTTTGAGAGGGAGTCTCGCTCTGTCGCCCAGGCTGGAGCGCAGTGGCCGGATCTCAGCTCACTGCGAGCTCCGCCTCCCGGGTTTACTCCATTCTCCTGCCTCAGCCTCCCGTGTAACTGGGACTACAGGCACCCGCCACCTCGCCCGGCTAGTTTTTTGTATTTTTTAGTAGAGACGGGGTTTCACCGTGTTAGCCAGGATGATCTCGATCTCCTGACCTCGTGATCCGCCCGTCTCGGCCTCCCAAAGTGCTGGGATTACAGGCTTGAGCCACCGCGCCCGGCCTAAACTTCTTAAAGAAATTTCCGTTCCCAAAATAACTGAGAAAGAGAGAGATACATCTTATAAACTGACTTCTTTGTGGTTTCAAATCAGCCAGCTCATTTGGTTCAGGCATAAATTAGAGAAATGGTTCTGGATATGGTGCAAAAATGAGTTTTCAACTGGTATCCATTATAAAAAATCAGGAAGAGGTAATTTTTCACCTTGCTTTTCAGTTAGACAAGGACGAGGATTGAACTGACATGGCGCTAAGGGTTTTTCTAAGTAAAAACACTGAGATGTTGGGACGCACATCAAAAACCTGGTGTGCTCAATTGGAAGAAGTTCTATGAATATGGAAAGGCCAGAGGCAGAGTGAAATAAAATGATATCTCAAAAGACACAATTTAAAGGCTCAGCATAAGTAAATGACATATTTGGGGTTTGCTTGGAAAACCAACTAAATAAAAAAATTCAAACCAATTCGCCCAGAAAAAAGACTGATACATTCAAAAATAAAAGGAAAACCAGTGAATTGCTACATGACAGCAGCGTAAGTGTTTGAAAACGTTTCAAAGCACGTATGTGCCAGTGTAACAACATGTGGAAAGCCTCAGGCGAGGGTCTAAGATGAAAGCTTAGGCTGATAGACAAGTAGTTAAAAGCTAAGAGCAGTACTCTGAAGGAATAGGCAAAATGTTTATTTTCCTTATTGTTGGTAAACAACAAACTTGGTCTTACATCTGTGTGGTATAGTAGAAAGGCAGCTGACTAGATCTCTGGATTCTAATTTTGGCCCTACCTATAACTTAATTTTGCGATCACAGTTGTATCATTCACCATGCCTGGGCTCTAATTTCCTGGTTTGTGAGGCAGCCCTAACGTTCCATGTTCTGTGATAGAGCAGAACTGAACTTATTACCTAATTAACTCTCTGCTATGAGTTGTCAAGACTGATCATTCTGGTTTTTCTGTACACAGAAGTTTAGATGCTTTGTGACTTAAGCAGGTGTGTGGGCTCCTTTAGGCAGGTTACAGTTAACTTTCTAGATTTAGCCAAAATGTAGTTGGTAGAAATTTATGACAAGGAAGAAAAATATCAAGATTTATTTAATGCACTATTCTTTAGTAATTAAAGCAAAATGATATAAGTGATTAGAGAAATTTCATAGATAATATTTCCTAGGAGTCTCATGCCCAAAACTCTTGCCATATTTAAGGAGGGGAATGTACTGGAAGAACTTAACATAATTTTGGAAACAGAACATGAAATTGAATACTCAGGGATTAGTAGTATATTTTCATCATTTAACACACAGTTCTTTGACAGTCCATAGGTAGGTGACAATCTGAATGATAATATGAAAGATGAATATTGGGTTGTTTGTGTATGCAAGAAGAGGCTACATAAAATTAGATAATGTTAACATTTGTGCTGTAAATGCAAAAAAGTGCAAGTAAGTGAGAAAGTTAGTGGTTATATATATTTTCAAAAAATTCAAAGTGCAGTTGACCCTTGAATAACATGGGTTTGAACTGTGCAGATTCACTTATATGTGGTTATTTTTTTTCCCAATCAAATGCAGATCAAAAACCCAGTATTTGGAGAAATGTGAAACCCGAGTACACAGAGGGCTGATGTTTTGTATAAGCGAGCTCCACAGGGCCAACGGCAGGACTTGAGCATGTGAGAATTTAGTTATATGGGGGTGGTCCTGGAACCAACTCCCTGTTTATACCAAGGGGTGACTGTACAATAAAAACTAAATTTTGAATGATACAAACAAGAGTATTTAGTAATTTTGAGAAAATTATTTATGAGAAATCCTGGAATACATCAAATGGAGTTTTGATCAGTTTGCAACATGAAGTAATGTCTTAAGAATGCTAACGGTTTTGTAGAATTCTGTAGATTGATAAATGTTTGGAAGACAAAAATATTTGATGAATGTGGTGTATTTTGGAAAGATAATTTTCACAGATGGGTATTTCTGGTGGCTATACTTTCTACCAAATGTGCCAGGGACAGAAACTAAAAGTACTGGAAACTTAAGAACCAGGGAAAATGAACTGATATTAAAGAAAAGGCTGTCACTAAAGGAATTTCAGTGGAATTTTTATATGGAAGATAGTTAACTGGTGAAAGGAAGAAATTATGAATTTCACAGATGAGATGAGAGTAATCAGAAGGAATAATGGTCTTCAAAATGACATGACCAATATTTTTAAGGGAATACAGAATTAACTAAATTATATCTTGATTCAAAATTTTGGTAGATTGACCCAGTTTTAAGTACATAACCATTTTAAAATTTACTGAATGTCAATAATTTTATCGTAGCAGCTTTATTACATTACATAAAATATCATATTAACTCACTGTATTGTATAGCTTACATTTTTTGCAATATGGCATGATTATCACAAAATGACCCAAGGTAAGTTAAGACATTTGATGACAATGTACCTTCTTAATATACATGTGAATGTGTTAAAATGTGTTTATAATCTACATTATTTTGTTCTGTGCAGGAACATACTTCCTCATGATGAAAATGTCATCTATGTCTTTTAAAAATAGTATATAGAATAAATATGTTCCTGATAATTTAATCAGTTAAACTTAATGTGGCTTTAGTTTTAATTCTTGATTTCCATAACTTTGCCAAATGTTGAGACATATGAAATTTGATTGAAATAGATGGAGAAGTATGATTTTTATATCACCTTGGGGATACATAAAAATGTGCTCTATCCAATTACCGGTATAATATGTATCAGTTCATTAGGTAAAACATAACTCATGGTTTTGTAGAATTCTGCTTTCTAGTAATAATAAGTATCTTTACTGCCCATTTCACCTGCCATACCTACTTTAAAAATTTGGATGACCAAAGAAGTAAATGAATGTTTCCCCAATCTTTCTTGGGAAAATTCTGTTTAAATTGTTATTGGGAATATACAGATTTGATATGTTATTTTGGGATGCATAATATTAATGTCACAGTCACTACAGGTCAGATATTTAGGTGTGCTTCAGCTCCACAAGTCTTTTGTCATATTATGCTCGCTTAACTAAACTGTAATTGCCTGATAAAAGATAACATGACAGTGCTGAGGTGTCATTCAAAATGAGACCAGATGCAATAAATGATTGCCTTCAGCATTTGTACAGAAAAACCACTTGCTCTTTCTTGGTTATATTTTATAGGGCTAGATTTTTCCATTGGGTACTATTCTTAATTCACTCTATACCATGTTGTCACATGCTGCCTCTGGGTAAAGAATCCCACTTAAAATAAACTTTAGGGGATCTTCTAAAAAAAGATAATATGCTCCAATTTTTATTTCTCCTTCTTATGGGGGATGAGGATCAATTATAATACAAGACCATTTGGAAAATATGCATAGACATTTTAAAGTGAAATACAAGACTTCTGCCTTCAAGGTCTAAACCAAGTAAGTTTGATGGACGGCAGCACAGGTAAAGAAACCTTCTGAATACACATTTGATTTGTATAGCTCTTCTTTCAAGAGTAGGATATTACTAAGATATTCAGTGCAATCTATCAGTCCTAGTAGTATTTGGAAGTGACAGAGTGAATGCTGATATTTGGAAAACTGAGCATTTGACCATTTTGGGGTTACTCACCTGGCCTAGTGGAATAGCTTACACTTTAATACAACCAAATGAAGTCTTTCTGATTTAAAATGTTTGAATGCCCAGATTTGGTTCCCTAGTTCACTCAAATCATAGATGTAGACATACATCCTGTTTTCATAATGATTTTTAAAAGAATGTAAATCCTATGGTTCTCCAAGTAAATGATTCAACTTTCATGTAAATGGCAAGTTTTTGTGAATAGGGATTTATGTCCAAGACAGAAAAATCTATTGAACCAGTTCTTACTGTGGAACTTATTGTGGATAAAACATTAGTTATCTTTCTAAATTTTAAATGAATGACAGAACAGTTATGGACACATGCAAAAGGTATCAGACATAGAAAATATTCTTGGGGGAAATTTCTGTGTGGTGCTAATTTCTTGCAAGGGTTATATGGATAGTGCTTAACTCAAAAAGTGAGAGTGTAGTCATTGCCAAATAGGGGTTTGTTCAGAGTTCCTTCTCTAGGACTGTATGCAGAAAGCATACAAACACACACACACACACACACACACACACACACACAGACAAAAATATGATTTTTATATCATATTCATGAAAATGTGCCATATCCAATTATAACACACACACACACACACACACATAAATAAATAAATGATGGTTCACATAAGAAATCCTAATTGCTAATTTTAAACCAAACATTTACAGTTTTGTTTATTGCAACTTTGCTGCATGGGACTTTGCTTTCATAAATCTATATGGGGTTGGGGGGAATTTACCCTAATTTGCTGACCTGGGACACATGTAATCATAGTTAAATTTACACCCAATAACCCTGATGTGTTTACATTTCAAAAGAAAGGAAATTGGCCTGGAAAAAATTTTGGAAGTACTGTAATTTTTTTTTCTTTTTTTCCAAAGGGAAATATTTCAAAAAATGAAACATTATGAGTAGACACTTCAAAAAAGATAAAATATTTTACATTTGTTTTTTGAATAATGTGCTATAAAAAGGATTATATTTGTGAGAAAAGATACTGATCACCAATATTTCAAACACCATGTTGCAATGTATAGTTTTTAGTGACATTGTAGTATAAAGCTGTAATTTGAAATTTTACTTTGGAATGTAAAGTAGAAAATATTAGCTATGTC